TGTCAACCTCACCGCACATCACTGGAAAATGAAGTATATAGAAATATATATGCACACAGTTTTGATGCAGTTTTCCAGATGTAAATATATCTTTGTATATATCTAAGGTATTGCACTGAGGGTTGTTGTTCTGTGAATTAAATCCAGACCTTTATTTATGTATAACCAAAGTGTATTATATGTAGCAGCAGGCCTTTGTGGGTGGAACTGTCACCAATAATTCCAGCTGGAGATGTCTCAAAAACTGTTAGATATTGCCATAAAGCTTTGTATAGACATTCATAGCCAACCTCCACCCCCCCCCCCCCCAGAGTGTGAATCCTATCGACTTTGGTGATCTCGTTATCATGCTATCATTAGCATTTAGCTCAAAACACTGCTCTGCCTTTGTAAAGATGTTGCCGTTCATGTTGTGTCCAGTCCAGTTGTGTGTGTTTGTGTGCTTGTGTTCAGGGTATTGTGCTTGTTAAGTTTACTTATTTTCAGCTAGTCACATCCAAGAAGTCACCCCCGCTGCCTTGTGCAGCTTTGAACTTAATACAATGAAAAATACAGTGTTGTTGTCCTGAAGAACTCAGTGTGAGAGGCAGCTTATGTCTGTATGACCTTTAATGCGCCCTTAGGTTTGCATGTTTGGTTTCCTAGCACGTGCTGAGGCTATTAGCTACCTGGGTAATGGTGAAACCTGATGCTGCATTTCCCAGGTTACCCTCAGACTGACCACAAGCGCGGGGTGAGAGCTCGGCTCCTGAGGCTCTTTCCATGCTCCACAGCCAAAAAGCCGTCCTCCTGTAATCAAAGCAAGTGGCTCTTCCACAACTCTTGTACTTTCTCTTTCTCTCTGTGATGATTGTTTTGTTTTCGTAATGTGTTTTTTCATTCTGTAGTGTTTCTTGGTATGGGGGCATAAAGTTATTATAGCATTTAATCACACGACTGCACCAGCAGTATTTCACCTCCAGCATCTGTAGAAGTCCTCTTTTACATTTCACATACAACATCTTGCTCTTGCAGTTGTAGAAGTAAAACAGATGTTTGTTGAATTTATGAAATGATTTGGATTTACACCAAGATTAGAATGTTTGTCCATTTTTTTCCATCTGTTAAAATGTTTTAATTCCCTTCATGAAAGTAGTCACAGCTTAAAAAAAAACTGTTTTTCATGTACAAATAATATATTTGTTAATGCTACAGAATGTTTTCATGGCATCAATTTAGTGAACACACATTCTGTTGTATTGTATACAAGTTAAACAAGGCAAATGAATGTGAAACTACTTGTTACACAACTGTAAGTATGTGACTCAAGGACAGAAGTGACAAAACCCAGATGAGAACAAAGTCTGAGATCAAACAGTGTTTTATTTCCTTATATCAGCCAACATCACCTACAAATGCAGTGCATCAGCTCCACGGCAGCAGGTAAATTGTGGCCTCTTAGAAGATGTGGCCTTTTGGCTGTGGACCACAATAAGACCCTCAGAGCTAATGAGGCATTTAGACACCGTGTCACACTTCACATACACGAGGAGCCCGGCACCAACAAGACAAGTCGAACGCTGTGTTAGGAGGACGGTGCAGTCGGTGACGGGGCCCAGACAGCATCTGCCATCATTACAGACCCATTAAAAGGATTCACTGGGTTCACTGCCCTACTTCATGAAGAGGCTCCCTGCCACAAGGACGTTCTGTGGCCTCAGCAAAACTAATTACCTCTGCTATTGTATTGTTGTATTGTGTAGGGGAAAAAGATGCCGTTCAGATTTTTGTTTGGTTCTGTGAAGCAGCATTTGCAAATGAAATGACCTGATATAACGAGGAGAGAAAAGGCTTCAAAGTTAATCCACTGGATTTTCTTTATTAAGGAGAAGGTTACCTAGAATTTGTGGCCATGTCCTGCCAAAATGTGCTGTTTGAATGGAGCTGAAAACGTCCTAGAATGTTTGCTTAGCTGTAGGTGATGTTTGGAAGTGGAATGGGGATGTCTCAGATTGTAGCATCAGAAATGCTAATTTGCAAAGACTCGTTATAAGCATCAGCTCACATCTGACCCTCTGCCTCCTCCTCTCCAGACAGCGTTGAAGATGAGCTTGAACTGTCTGCAGTCCGCCATCGCCCCGAGGGCCTGGAGCAGCTTGAAGCCCAGACTCGTTTTTCCCGCAAGGAGCTACAGATCCTTTACCGCGGCTTCAAGACTGTAAGTGACGAGGCCAGCGTGCAGCATGAGCCCCATAGATAAAGTACAGCACAGTGGGCTTTGCTCTCTCCTGGATGTGTGTCTCTCTCTGTCGCTCTCTCTCAAACATCAAAAAACCAGGTGTTTCTTTGATTTGGTTTGATTTATTCCTTTACAACCTTCAGTATTTGCCAAAGGTGTTCTTACACGAGTCTCCTCAAACAACTCCACTTCCTTCTAGTTCTCATCACTGTCCAGCATCCACTCTGCTCATATAGTAGCTATGAAATAATAGTCAGGCATCCAATGAATGCTATTTTGCTGAATCATCTGCATCTTTCACAAGTGTTGTCACTTCCAGCTGAAAGTTGACCTTTCTCTACATCGGTCACTGTGCCAGAGATAATTAGGTCATGGCTCAACGACACTGTGGATGTGTGTGAAGCACAATCCAGGTCAAAGTCCTCGAGAGCAGCCCATATAAATCCACCTCACTTCATAGTCACCTCTGGTGTGAGGCGTAATGAGATGACCCAGAATTAACTCCACCCAAATTGTCTGGCAATGAAAGAGAGGAGGGTGGCAAGAATCTGTGATAGTGGAATTCCCAAGGAGCTTCACTTGGCTGTGGAACCTGCTCTGTGCCCCAGTCGAGTCCCTGCAAAGCCTTCCCATTAGTCCACGTCCACTTGAGACAGAGTAAGCAGTAAGAAGTGTACTAATGAGGCCTTCAATTTGTGCTGCACACTCTGGCTGACTTCCTGTAATGCTGAAAGAGACAATATTGCATGTTTGTAGATGTTTTTACTTTGCAGATTCAGCATTTTTGCATTTTCATTTATTTGAGCTGGTTGGTCCAACACTTTGGCCCAGCTCGAAATATCTTGACTGTTCAATCAACTGCAGTGAAATATTGCACAATCATTCATACCGTTGGTGATGGCTTGACTTTTCCTGTAGTGCAGTATTTTCACTTTATCCAGTAAAAGAGCTCTGTGTCTAATGCCTCAACAACTAGATGGTGGATTTCTAGGAAATCAATTATAAGACTGAATTCTTAAAATGTATTCCCATCTTCAGACAGATTGGACAGAGAGAGTCACTTAAAGCACAGGTACTAAATAGCTTTTGTCCCTCTTTTTTTTTAAACATCCAGGGTCAAACAGCTCATCTCTGTCTTGCCCCAGCAGAATAAAGGTGAGATTTTAAGGCCAGCCAGACTAATAGAAGCTGGCATGGTTCTCTCAGTGAGAAATGTGGCCCCTTGTCCTTGGCAGTCAGGGTTTCAAGCAGCATGAAGTTGTTTGTCTTAGAAACAAACTTTATGAGTCATCCTCTTCCAGGTGGGTGTCTTAGATCCAACAATATGTCCTGCAGGGACCAAAACCACTCTTTGGGCTGTGAGTCTTCATTTTTGAGGTGGAATTTGAACAAAGGCCACTTTAAAGGTGTGAGACAATCCATTGTTTCATAAATCCCCTTGACCCCAGGCAACAGGAAGTGACACAACAATGCCATCGCGTCCTCACATTAAATCTGCTGGGCTTTCACAGCTGACAGTCTCGGCATCACCTCAAGCATCAGATTAAGATCTTACGGTTTCTATTTCATCAACATTGATGCTCCTGTTCACAGGTTTATTTCATTCCCCACACTGTTTATTGCTGCATCACTTCACAAGTCACAGAGAGGAATTTCATGCCTGGCTGGCTTTTGCATTTCACAGATTGTATTTGTGATTTTATTATCATGGATGAGCTCATTGTAAAAATGTATGGAATGAATACAAATACTTTTTCTCGCCCTCTCACTCCATCTGATGTGATTGGCAATGAAAAATGTGCAACATGGAACAACATCCAATGGCAAGTGGAAACGTAGCACCACAGTTCCCAGTTTCACATGGATTACTGCCTCTGCTCTTTGCCCATTATCGCAGTTTTGATTTAGAGGCCAATAAACAAATACATAATACTAAAAACGTGACATCAGCTATGGAAAATAAATGAATGTGTGTTCACGTTTGTCATAACCTTGCATGTTAAAAAATGCTGGGGTTGAGTTAGGAATGAGAGAATTACTGAGAGTAAAAAAAGAAAAGTTTTAGCACGTTTCAAAAATGCTTAACTCAAATTCTTAAATGTTAAAATATCCTGTGTGGATGATTTGATTTCTTTATTGGATTTATCCATCTAGCAGTGCTTCCCTGATGCAGGGGGACACATTCTACCCAAGAGTTCGACATTGCTGACTTATGTAAAGAACAGTGTGTGAATGATGTCCTGACTTTTGCTCCAGCAGCATCAAAGTTTGTCCTGATGGAACCTTGAGGCAGTTATCAAGAGAGTATAGCCAAACTATTTCACTGACCTTTAAACTGAATAGCAGTGGCACTGTGTCATGTGGGGTAGCTACTGTACATACTGGCTTCGTCCTCAACTGAAAAAACCGAATCTCTCGCCAGCATCGTCGTGAGGCTGAAAAGATGATAAAACGGGGACAGGTGAGTGTGAGACTCGGGCGCCACTGACCTTTAGCTTTTCTTCAGATTTGTCAGGACGACTTTGCAAGAAGCTAAATTGGAACACAGCTGTTTATATACAGTATCACTGACCCACTTAATCAGTGTGTTAGTGTTGGCAGCAGTAATTGCCTGCCTGCGGACAGACGGACACAGGCGTGCACAGACTCTACAAGTGAAGTGACAGTACATGTTTTAAAAATCCCGCTCTCTTCACTTTAAGTCCTTCATTACATGGCATTTCCTATAACCGTCTTCCGGCAGCAGCTCTGGCATGCAGACATGAGAGTGGTGTCAGTGTTCTCATCTAACTCATAACAAGAAAGCAAGTATCTCTTTTAAATAAATCTACACCTGGATTTTCACAATAATATACCCACACATAGAAAAATCAGGCATTCAACAGCAGGTACTGCCAATATAGTTCTTATGCGACTTAACCTGTACACTGTAGAGAGTGAGTTTCCTCATGCTGCCTCATTTGGATCCATACCAAGGTCCAGTGTAAACAGCATCGCACACTCCACAGCCTCAAAGACTCTGTGCCTGTGAGACAATAGAAGAAGAGCATCACAGGATTTATGTGGACAATTCTCTTAGCCTGAAACAAAAGGAGCCTGTTTGAAGCAAGGTTTTATTTTTATTTCCTCACCCCCACATATGTGGGGATAAGTACCTGATCTGACATGGACACAGGAATTAGGAAACCCAGTGTGCCCCGTGCTTCATATTTTATCCCTCAGGCTGAGGAAACTGTCTCTCTCTCGTGTCCCATTAACCCTGAGAACTTGACCTAAGTTTAATTAAAAACTAATAAATTTGAAACCAAATTGGAGACTTTCAGACAAAGGTGTCAGTAGCTGCAGAAGCTGAAATGTACATTTTCACCATTTCTTTATTTTCTAGCTGTTTCACCTTCTGTTAAAACTGTAGAGAGGTGTTCATTTACCTTATCTTCACCCTTCACTACGGCCGTGGTGTATCATCCTGTATAGAAGACCCAGAGAAACTCGTGCCTCCTGGTCTGGAAATTGTCTATATAGGTGAAACATTTCCTCTGTTTCTAAATTTAATATCCTGTCAGGGTGTGCGGTGTGCAGCCGCTCACCAAGCAGGAAAAATACCTGCCTTTATTACCATGTTGCTCTGCTCAAGGTCACCCTCCATGACTCTTTATTTTTGAAAGAAGCAAAAGTGTTCTTCTATGAGGCATTATGTAAGAGTATTCCCTCTTTTCCACTGAATACTGCCATATATGCACTAGTGGGTGACCCTAAATGGCCCTAAAGATTTTAAATACCACTAAACTGAACAGGAGTCTTTATCTGTTACATACTGTCTAAGAAGCTGTGACCAAAAATTTAAATGTCATTATTCTAAATGCAACTGAACACCAGTCTGAAAAGCAGTGCTGCGTTGTGTGTTGAAAATCCCCAGGTCTGCTGCCCCTTTAATAACACAGCAGTGATGTCACAGTGTGCTCGACCAAGCGGCGGCCTCAAATGGCCACTTGCATTTGCAAATATTGTTCATTTCAAAGGTTTAGTTGCGAGGCCCCAGAGTTGTCCTTCCACACTGAAAAGTCCATTTTCACGTACAGTATATTTGAGCATGACTGTCACATCTTAAACTCAGATTTCAGGTAGGGACTTTAATAAAGTAGGAGGCTTTAACCGAGCTGCTGAATGTACTGTGCATTTGTTTCCTTGCAGGAATGTCCCAGTGGAATCGTCAACGAAGACACTTTCAAAGACATCTACTCACAGTTCTTCCCACAAGGAGGTTTGTACAGCTTGTGTCACGCTGCCTCTCACCTCCCCTGTGTCGGTCTACCACTCATGTTTACAAAAATTGCTCTCAGTCCAGAGTGCTTTAAGGAAAACTTCCATCAAATAAAATGCAGGAACAGTGAGAGGGAGAAAGTAGTTTGTACTGCTGAATGCAGCTGAACATTGCTCACTGTTGACTGTCATCATTATGCAAAGATTCAACTCAAGGAACAAGAGAGAACACATTAGGTGGCTTTGATATCTGTTCTGAGAGAAGGCAGGCCAGTAAATATAATGGCCATCCACACAGGAAACATTCAGAAAACTCCCCAAACCTCAGCATATTGTTCTTCTCTTTCATCATGAAGGAACTGTATTTAAAGTCTTTGAAGTTGTGCAGAAAAACTACTAAATGTTACTTTGAACCATTTTCTTGTTGGTGTGGACTGAGTTGTAATTAGATCAGTGCTTGTTCTCTTCATAGATGCTTCAACATATGCGCATTTCCTGTTCAATGCATTCGACACAGATCACAATGGCTCTGTGAGTTTTGAGGTGAGCAGATTATTTTCATATTTCACACGCAGCCAGATGTGTGTGTGTGTGTGTGTGTGTGTGTGTGGTGTTGGGGTTCCCATTCCTACCATTCCTACCATTCCTACGTCCAATATAACAAACTGCTACAGAAGTCCAGCTAACACTCACATTTTTCAACTGGCCCCTAAAGCATTGTACTGGAGGATTATGTAAGCAACCCCCAAAAACTTTATTTAGTCTAGTCAGGTCAACATGTGATGAATATTTATGAAGGACATTTATTTGCTTATTAGGTCAGAACAGCTGTCATTACTCCAAACCAAAGCTTTACTGACTAATGTGCTAAAGAGTGAGGATTCCCTGAGAGCAGACTCAGTCAGCTAATAACTTGAATAATAAGGTTATTGCTGTTTTATCATCTGCCTCTAATTAATAATGTCCTTACAAAAATGTTGATGCATGAAATCAGCTGAAATCCCTCATGCATTACACGTGCATGGTGAATATTGTTTTTGCTTATTGAATTGGCCTGCACTGTCTTCTTGCTGGTTAGGTTTTAAATGTGTACACTTTTTACAAATCTCCTTGCTTCTTGTTGCCACTGCAGGATTTTGTTATGGGCCTTTCTATCCTTCTGCGAGGCACAGTGCAGGAAAAACTCAACTGGGCGTTCAACCTTTATGATATCAATAAAGACGGATATATCACTAAAGAGGTATGTGCCTTTAAACACTGCTGAGAGTGAAAGGTCATGAGAGCATCACTAAATACCCCAATATCCACCTTTTTATATGGAATACTGATACCAGGACAAGGTTTGTTAGAGGCTTCAGCCACATTAGAAATAACCAGTGTCCTGCAGTGAGTTTGCCCAAGTAGAAGATAAGAATATCTGAGATTTTTCCCTTCTCTCATGGAGCCATTTCATCTAAAAAGGCATTTTAACAAGACAGTCTATAGCACTGTAGGCAGATTTATGAAGCTGTATGTGTTTTATAATTCTAAATATTTTTTTTTGCATACATTATATATAATGTTTACCATCTTAGTTCATTAGGTTAGGATGCTAACATTTGCTAATTTGTACTGAACACAAAGTACAGCTGAGTTTCTTGGCCTATATGTCAATGGTCACAGGCCAAAATACTGGGCAATTTAAAATTGTGATGTGACAGTGAACATTCAGCCACCAAAGTTGATGCATATAATCCTGAGGGGCACACGAATGTCTGTACCAACTTTGATGTAATCCATCCAATAGTTAGCGAGAAATCTCACTAAAACCCAAAAATCTCAACCTCATGGTGATGCTACGGGAAAACTCAGGAGTCATTAGGATCCTTCCTCTGCAATTCATCAAAGAGTTGTCGAGCTATGGAAGTAATGGACTGAGGGAATGACCTCCAGAGAGACGTACACTATTCAGCAGCAGTGTGTCTGCTGCTCTGGAGAAGCCACCAACCTCACTGAGTCTCGTTTTCCTGGAGAATATTTCTTTCTGTAGAAGGTGTGAGGCGAGGTGTGGGAGTATCCAAAGTAACAGGGACTTTGTTTCTCTCTGTTTTTCAGATGTCATTTTTCACTCTGTTGAACACCTCAAATGAAATTCCATTCACCTCCGTTATAATGGGTTTGCAGCAGCAATCTCTGCAGTCGATATCTCAGAACCTCAGCACATAAAAGCCTAAATGATCTGCATGGCTTACCATGTAGGGTGAGTGAGGGATGGGATTTTTTTGTTTTGGCATCTGGGAGATGTGACCCTTTTCTGTGTGTCACAGGAAATGCTAGACATCATGAAGGCCATCTATGACATGATGGGGAAATGCACATACCCCGTCCTCAAAGAGGAGACGCCTCGTCAGCACGTAGAAGTATTCTTTCAGGCAAGTGTGTCATCGGCAGCATTCGCACTCCTGTGTTTGTCAGTCACAGTGCACAGGCTTCAGCATTGTTTCTTTTTTATCGTCCCTTCTGTCTGTGTCTAACAGAAGATGGATAAGAACAAAGACGGAGTGGTAACCATAGACGAGTTCATCGACTGCTGCCAAAATGTAAGCAGGACACACCGAGACATCTGCTGTCATTGCTGCCGCCACGCTGCCATTTTGTCAACTTATTTCTTCTTGTCCGCAGGACGAAAACATCATGCGATCAATGCACCTCTTTGAAAACGTTCTTTAACTGTTGGTTGGCTGCAGAGGCTTCGGAAGAGATCATCATCTTTAGCACGGTCCACTAACTGACTTGGACTCATACTGTGTACAGTGTGCTATGCAGACTTTTGACCATAGATAAAATATTGTTCATTACTCTGGGCCACAAGTAAGAGTGGGCAGTGTGGTGTGAACACTCTGGAATTAGCTGCCTTTTAAACTTGTTCTTGAACAAGTCGGAGAAAAATGAAACCAACATTTGAAAAAAAAAAAGGAGAGAAAAGTGTGTAGTTTTTTGCAGCTATGGTTGAATTGTGAAGGCTGACTTCCACCATCTGGAGTGTCTTTGTATTTACCGAGCACCAAGTTCTGCAAACTGTGTTAGTCTCTGAAATTATGAACACAGTGGGGGGAAAGAGATTTCTTTTGAAAGGGTTCAGACAGGATTCTTCTGTCTCTGTCGCAGTCTCGGCTTGTTTTATTTACTGCCAAGTGAAACCACTGTGACTTTTTACAGCACCAGAAAATAAATAAATAAATAAAAAGTGGTGCAAAATGTTTGACCTAACTTCACATTCGTGTCTGTTTTTACATTCCACACTGGCTCTCGATTCCAGAGTGTTCCTGCCCCGCTGTAGTTAACCATTGTGTTGTTCCTTTTGCCCTCTGAAGGAAGCATTTAGAAAAAAAAAAGAACATACAGTACATTGTACCATTTTAAAGTGTATATACTACAGATAAAATGATAGATAAGAACCTTATGGGAAACTTTGTTCATGTTTACTTGCCAACTAGAACCAGACAACACAAGGATTGTATTGATGTCAGAATCAGACCATAGCACCAATGGTTTGTCTACAGAAGCACACAGGTAGCTCTATTTACTAGGAGTTTAGTGTTAGACGATAACTTTTGTCATAAAAGAAATGCTGCTTTCAGTGTATTTCATTTAACCCTATGTATGTATAATTCCCTGTAAATGTTTTTATTTAGATTTTAAAGCACTGTTTAGGAGTTTACACTAAGAGCAGTGTTTGAGATGATTTATATGGTATTATGGTCACTTTACAAAAGATTGTCAGGTGTACAGTATTAAAATGAAAATTCGCTCTTGGGTGAATTTCTTTCAAATTCTTCATTTAGTTCACTGTTTTTAATAAGTGGAGTTTGGCTGATTGTTGTCCGCTGAGCCCCTTCCTGCTCCTCTACAGTCCAGCTGCCCACACCTGTTCAGCCTGATTGGCTCCTGCTGTGCCTGGCACTGAACAAGGCATGCTGGGTCTTGTTTACTGGCTTGCTCGTTTGAAACTACTGGATGTCTGGGAGAAGTGTCTGGACAAGCATGCAAGTTACTGTTTCAGTCTGATGTGTTTCCTTTGTTGAGTAAAGGTATTCATCATGTCAGCCAGATGTTTGACTTCTATTAAATATTGGTTGTTTGGTGAATATTCCTACTGCAGCTTTTGACAGTTGATCATGTTCTTTGTGTGACACTGTATTACTGGGAAGTCAGTGACAAACACACCAATCACATGTCGGTCAGCCATCAGTTTAGTTAAAAAACAAATTTCTTTCAAGACAATGTTAAAAACAATTGGTATAATATAACACATGACTGCTGGATTAAATAACACAGCACTACTATTAACCAGCAGCTCTTACAGCTTTGCAGCACAGACCTTCTAATGGTGCTTGTTAGTCAGCTTGAAATGCATCGTGATAGTTTTCTAAATAACTAACTACAGGAGAGTTTTTTTGTGTTGATCAGTTAGTTAATCATCTGACAAAAGCTTGAATCATTCAGATGTGAAGACGTCCCTTCACGGTGCAAGAGAGTAAGTAACACACGGACATTTTTGCTACATGGATCGACTTGACATGAAACGGGAAAACAGTCTAGGTTGACACATGCCATGATTTAGGCTTTGTGTGTATTTAATTTTATTTATTTAGTTATGATAGGGTCCTTGTATTAAAGTAACTGTAGTTAATTGTGCCTTGCTGATGTACAGTTGCATCTTTTTTAGCTTGTTTAGTCAAACAGTGGCACAGTTATTTAATTCCAGTGGGCCCCCTGGTGGCCTGCAAAGGCACTGCAGGTGGTCCCTGTCTGCAATAAGGTAGTGTTACTGTAGGAATCTTTTTGTAAATGCATTTCCATGTATTACTTGGTTAAGTAATCAAATTCATGCAAATATATAGTATTTAGATAAGCCAAGTTGTTTTTCAGGATTAAAATAGTGCCCATCTGGTCTTTCCACACCACGACAATGGTTAGTTTTTCACCAGAATGGTGGTTCCTGGGTCACAATTAGTCGAAAACCCCTGATTTAATCCTTAAGGAATTCATTTCCTGTATTTGTCAAGATCTCAGAGTCAGTAAAGGCACAACAGAAACAGTCTGAGTCAAGGATTTAATTAGACAAGGGGTTATTTTAGTGTTTGGAATAAAAGTATATGGCACATGAATTCCCATAAGTTTACTCCAAAAACATCCAGTTAATTTGAAACTCACATCTTCCAACTTAAAATATTAAGGTACTCAAATTACCTGAGATACATTTGCATACGAACCAAACAGATAGAAATAGACCGTAAACAAATAACTATTATTAAATCAGATGGTAATGTTTTGAAGTCGTTTGTTGTTGGCTCACATACACAAGATTGCACAATATTTATCAAATGAATAATGAGTTACACAAAAGCATTTATCACTATAAAAACAAGCAAGCCAACACAGTACGCTGCTGGAACTGTGCTGAAGACCATGACTGAAATGTTATCTACTGTATTATCAAAGACAAGTTTACAGATTATAGCTAAGTGTAACCAGACTGTTGAATCTGGGCGTCTGAACAGTGAAAACCCTTTAAACCAAAAGTCTGCAGACAAAAAAAAAAAAAAACTCATGATCCAACTAATGCTGTTAATGCTAAACAATTGTCCACTTTTGGCACAAGTCTGATTGTGGCACAAGTCTGCGACACCGTTTTCCATTGTTAGGGGTCGTTTGCTAGTATATGTCCAAATGAGTCACCCCGACAGGAACATTTGGTTTTCCCTTGCTGGATTTTTAGGATCGTCAGAGGGAAAAGTTGAATATTTGGTCCCTAAACCGCTCCCCTCTGATGCATCATTAGCAGTCCACTCCTCTTTCTCACTGCTAATTTAAACAAGCATCCCTTTAACAACCATTTTAGTACTAACGCTGACTAGAAAAGTAGTTGGTCCTTGTTGCATTCGTGGAGCAACAGCTGTGCTCAAAACAAAACCTTTTCTGCGTCACTGCACTTTGGAGATAAACTCTGAGCCATAAATGGTCAAAGAATCTGAATTCTGGTGGAGGCATGCGTGAATCAAATGCTTTGAATTACTCACGGTGAAATGATAGGAACAATTCTCAATCCTATTAAACCAGTGGCTTTTTTCCGGCATTGTTTCTTCTAGACTATGAATAACCTGCTGCTGTGGTCGCACTGCTTACATGTTTATCTTGATACATTTTCTACTACGACAGCAAAGTGTAATTAAAATGTGGAAAGCTAAGTTGTTTAAATATTATAAAATTTATTTAGCATTTATGGAAATTAAAAACAAGTTACTAAGACTTCTTACATATTTAGTCTTAATAGGAGAGTAACAAACAGTGGTGAGCTCTGAGTTTCAAAGTGAATATCTATTATGTGGCCCATAAGTGACTCCTTGTCTTATCCAGACCCTGTAAATCAACAAAATTAAATGAGAAGATGCTTTAATCAATTGAGTAAATTGAACACACAGCGGAGATGTTTGCTGCATTGCATATGCCAATGGGCTTTATGCCAAAATGCATTTCAGCCTGAGAAACCGATGGCAGTCTAGCCTCCACAGTCCATCAGTCTGCGTGGGAAATGCTGGGTGTGCTGTGCATTTCATCCCTCCGGATTTACTCGGACGCTCCTCCAGCTTATTGTGTGTATACTAAAGGATGACAAATGCATGTTGGAAAGGCAGCTATGGATTCTCAAGGCTCTCCCTGGCTCCTTGTTCCCTCCCATGTCTTTGTAAAACTGTTCATGTTTCTTGCTGTGGACTGTCCATAGGATTCAAATGGAGTCCACTTAGACTGATGCTGTGACATTGGTGCATGGTCCATTAGATGCTGTGTTTCTTCCAGGCCCTGGATGGGAACACCGAGACCAGGCGCTGGGGATTAAGTGAGCAGCTGCCTGATCTCTCGGTGAACATAGCAGAGGAAGTCCATATAGGAGGCGCCGCTGTATAAACCTTTGTCCTCCACCAGGAACTGTCGGAACAACATCTCCGGTTTGTCCTTCTGCCTCACGATTTGGAGCTAAGCATGGCAGAAATAGAAAGTAAGCAAAGTGTAATCTGCTTTCAGGTAAAATGCACCAACTAGAAGCGTCTGACCTGCCCATGCATCAAACATTTTGATGTACAAACTCCATGTGGTTCAAACTTCCAATGCAACCACATTGGCTGGTGGCGTGGGGCCACCCAAGAGATAGGAGCTGTACCAGTGGAGTTCATAAACCCCCATACTGAGCAAGTCATTTGTAGCTTGTCCTTCCATTTTGAGGAGAACTAACTGTATTATTAAACTGTATTTGGATCAGTCCCATTATATGTAAAATGGTAAACATGACCTGAGGTTTGTAGTAACAGTTGTGGAGCTATTTATGTGTATACATGCTACCTCCACTAGAGGGAGACGGGTCACTAACAGCCAAGTTGCAGCAGCTAAATAAAATGTTTTCTCTTCTAGTGAGTACTTTTCCCTCTTAAATTAAGAAATGCTAACTTTGTTTAAAGCAAAATAAAAAAACAACAACAACAAAAGCCTGATGAGAATGCTGTACCTGGATTTACATTTCTTACCTTCATGGAGTTGGGCCTCTTGTCAAGCAGGCCACTGATGATGGATCGGACCTTCTTTGACAGCACGTTGTCCAGCTCCGGCAGTGCACACTGAAACAGAATGTCTAGTTACATCTAAAATACTGGTCACTGGCACCGGTTCAGTGTCTTTCTTATACTTAGAGCTGTAAGAGATTTAAGGATGGAAAGCAAGACACGCTGATTTATGTATGAAGCTGGGGTAACTTAAATCTAACATTTCATGAAGGTAGGAGTCTTCTTTAAAATGTTTATTGCCTGCCTCCTTTGACATGTTCCTGCCCTGCCTCCTCCCACATGTATCAGAAACACATGTGGACAAAAATGAATATCTCTCAGAGTTACTGTACATTTTGGATTTATCACAGGATTCATAAAATGGTGCGTTAGACAAGTTCTGAAGTGGACTTGTAACTCCAATCCATATAAACCTCCAGATGGTCTCTCACCATCAGAATGTAATGCTCACAGGCACCACAGAGGTAAGAACATCTCTCCTAACTTCTCTACAAATAGTTTCATTTTGTTTAGAAACACGTTGAGGTCTGAATGCTGTTTGGTGATTTCTGACCATGTCTCCTTGCAGGTGAGCAAGGGAGGGCACATTGAAGATGCTCTGGATGAGGTCTGGGGGGATCGCTTGGCCCAGCCACAGGAACATGGAGTGGCCGTTCTCCAGCAGGAACATGCCACAGTCTGTGAGGCGTTCCTCTGAACAGCGCACCGGAGCAGGCAGAATGTCACTGCTAACATCCATGTTGTGCTTTAAAAAAGAAACACAAACACAGGTTTATTAGAGCTCAACTTAAAAACTGTCAGATTCCAAACTGCTCTCTAACTGTCTGGACTCAACAGGAGCTACAGGCTAATGGGCATGAGTGAATTTATCTCTACAATGTAGCTTAAAAGAGAGTGTCATGAAAAAAGTCTGCTGTACACTGTGTGTGAGTTTGTCCCTTACCAGTGGGAGGAGGCGTGGGTAGAGCAGCAGTTGTGTGTCTTCCACCCCCATAGCCATGACCGAGAGCCTTTGATGGGCTCTGTCGTCTGTGGACAGCTCTGTGCTGCCCAGCATGGGAGCCGTTTTCATCAGGCTGTTCATGTAGACTGGGAACACCTTCATGGCATCAGGCAGGATCAGCTACATGTGGATATGCATGGAAATATTTATTTTTTAAGAGATTTCTTACACCCAGTGTATTGTATCACCAAGGAGTGCTTTGTATACCAAAATCAAAGCCTAAATTCACCACATTTCTGACCTGGCTGGCAGCTGAAGGGCTGGCACAGTTCTTCCTGTAGCAGGCCAACATGTGGGCTGTCTGGTTGACCAGGATCTCCCTCACATTCTTTAGAGGCTGGTTCAATATGGCACGGTAAGCTGCATGAGATAAGGTCGGTTAAAAGACGAGAGGGAGAGGAGCGATACATAGGGGCTGAACTGGCAGCTAAGCATAAGAAGGGGAGTAAGGATCATTTAAAAGGTTAGTGGTACAGCTGTGTAGATAAAGGCTTTGTGTCATCTGTACTGTATTTGAAATGTGGTTCTTATTTCTACTGGTCATTGTTCTTTTACTCATAAGTCAGTGAGCAGTACAACGTGTAGTTTATCAAGTGATGCATGGAGTAAACTGAGCAAAGGTCAGGCTGACACTGCAGTATAGCCACAGGCTATGTTTACACTCCATTACCCTCCCATATATATGGGATGACTGCCTCCAGAAAGACATTTCTGAACATGGCTATTGTGTAACAAGCTCTGCTTAAACAGCCAATGTAAAATTATGTGTAGAAGAGTATTTGAATGCGTCCCAGTAAAGGTAAATGCAGGAGGACCATCACCTGATTTGGCAAAGAAGTTGATGAGTGAGTCGGTCTCACAGCTCTTGTACAACTCCAACAACTGGGAGCTGCAGTTTAGACTGAGGTTGTGGATGCGCAGGCGTCGCTGCCCATTTATGGTGGTGTACAGCAAGGCACACTGGGAAAAGGAGGTTAGAATCAGACATGCAGGATTTAACTCCTGACAGACAGCGACAGCATTTGTTTTTCTTAAATGGGTTAATTAAATACATTTCTTAAATCATTTTGAAAAACATGTACCTGGAGAAATGCTCCATTCTCCTCATTGAGCGTGTCGTCGTGCTTGAACTCAACAGTCACAGCTTTGTCACAGTCCACAGCTGCCATCTCTATATCTGTGGTGTTGTTCATATGGATGGCACCAAAGAAGTCTGTGGCTCTGAAGCCTGAAGACAGACACAAAAACTGAGAGGTCGCTCCTTATGATAGCAGGGTAATCTTGGGCAACTAAACCCTAAATAGAAAGTCGTGTACTTTCCCTCACCTGTGCTGGTGCGAACACGCATGACGGCGTCAAATCCGATGCTCTTCTGCACATCTTTCCTCAGATCTCTCAGGAAATGCTCCCCATCTGTCTCAACCTGAGCAGCAAACAGTGCGTGTGTAAACTTCCAACCAGCAGATGGCAGCATTGTCACAATGTAGGCCCAAGCAAGTTCATAGAAGCTAGTACCTTAATACATGTATGTTTGTCTGACAATCAGATATGATGTACTGGGATGTCAGTGTGGGCAAAAGTAAACATTCAATGAACAGTAAACGTGCTGACTGTGATAAAATGCTGCAGCTCTTAGATACTGTTTTACATGTGATGTTTATATTCTACTGTTATAAGTAATGTCGCTGTACGTTTAGTATGTGGTGTGTCAGTCCAGACTGGAGCAGTTTCACACGGTTGCCAAGTCATTATGTGGCTACAACTGGCTTTTATTAGGCCACAACTCCTTTGGCCTGTGTGTTAAACTATGACTTGTTAGTGTAATGACAAGAAATACAGAATGAATCTTTTTGTGTGTGTGTGTGTGTGT